AGACGTTTGCTTTTAAATTCCTGTAGCATTCTGAAATTAACAATGCATCAGAGCTTGGAGAATTGAAGCCATCTGTTAGGAACTCTTTCATCACAACATAGCATCATTACAAGACTAAGTGAGATGTTGTATTGCATAATTAAGTCTTAATTGTGGGGTTAATTTCTGCAGATACTGCTCCAAACACTTACCTTTCAAAATGACAAATACCAGGCCACAGTGCTCTATTCCTACCTTTGGGAACATATGGCTTTACAAAAACCTCCTATAATATACCTTTCTAGCACCCTCTTGAGGAGAGGGTAGGCACTGCTCTTGTCTTGGGGTTGACAGCATCAATATGCTGCCACTACTCATAAACAGCAGAATGCTGGGCCTTCAGGAAGCCACACAAGAAAGAAAAAAAAATACCAGCCCTCCTCCTTTCTGAGAAGGCCTGGGCAGACAAGGCTCTCAAGCTGTTTCGTCAGTCAACAACACCTTCCGGGAGCTGGGAACTAGAGAGCTCTCAGTTGCAGTCTGCTTCTTCAGAGTGCTACCCTGCACTGAGCAGGGATCCTTCCTCCTAAGAACCTGCCCACCTCCAAGTTCAACAGGCCTCATAGGTGTGCTGGGCTGGGGCTGATCGTTCTCCTTTAACGCCTTCCTGATGTGGCTGGGGATCTGCCCCTCCACAGTCTAGCTCAGTTCAGAACTCTCTAGCCAAATACACTTGTCCTCTGAAAAAGGAAAAGCATCAACAACCAAGCAAGAAACACACAGTAGATGATCACTTGCTGGAAGGCTGCTTTATTCAGAATGCCTGGAGGATTCCTTTCAGTTTTGAAGGCTATAGGCCTGGTTCACCATTCTTTTATACCTGGGGTGGACAAACTTTTTTGGCCCAAGGGCCACATATGAGTATGGAAATTGTATGGCGGGCCATGAATGCTCATGAAATTGGAGGTTGGGGGGGGCAGGCTCTGGGGTGGGGCTGGGGATGAGGGGTTGGGGGTTCAGGAGGGTGCTCCGGGTTGGGACTGAGGGGTTTGGAGGGTGGGAGGGGGATCAGGGCCGGGGCAGGGGGTTGGGGTGTGAGAAGAGTTGGGGGGCAGGCTCCAGGTAGCACTTACCTCAAGCAACTCCCAGAAACAGCTGCATGTCCTCCCTCCAGCTCCTACCCAGAGGTGCAGCCAGGCAGTTCTGCGCGCTACCCTGTCTGCAGGCGCCACCCCTGCAGCTCCCATTGGCTGTGTTCCCAGCCAATGGGACTGCAGGGGCGGCACTTGGGGCAGGGGCAGCGTGCAGAGCCCCCTGGCTGCCCCTATGCTTAGAAGCTGTAGGGAGGACATGCTGCTGCTTCTGGGAGCCGTGCGGAGTGGGGCAAGACCCCGACCCTGCTCCCTGGCTGGAGCGCCAGAGCGGAGCAAGCCATGGACCCCACTTCCTGGCAGGAGCTTGAGGGCTGAATTAAAACAACTGAAGGGCCGGATGTGGCCCCCGGGCCATAGTTTGCCCACCCTTGCGTTATACCCATTGAAATCCATGGTGTCTTACTTGTGTAAAAATTGTGTAATGAAGCAGTGAATCGGGCCTTGTGTCTCAGAGTCCATAATAACAATGGCCAATGGAAAATCCTCCATTGATCTAGCAAACCAGATTCTGACATCTCACCTACATGACATATGTTACATGTTTTCTTTTGAAATTTCTCTAACCAGTAACTGCTGGTAGGAGAGCTAGCTGCATCTGTGTCCTTATTTGTCTGGCTAAGACCATGCTGTATGCTAGGCCTCTGCAAGGATCAGTTCCAAATCCATCAGGAAACCTCTGTGGTAAAAGCAATACGCAAGCGTTTGGGTTTCATAATAAACCGCAGAAGCCTTCCTCACTTTGCAATCAATACAATCCTGGAATTTTTTTTAAAGGCATCTGCTCTCAGGAATGGATCGAGATGTTTATCAGGAAATATTTAAAAGGAGATAGGATTGGAGGGAAAGGGATATCTTGTCAATTGGGGGTTCTCAGCCACCTTAGTCTTTGCTGATTTTTCCAGTCCCAAAAATCCTTCCAGCCCCTCTGTGTTACCATGTGGAAGACACTGGCAAGAAAACTGAGATTAGAGAATAATGATTCTCTCACCAAAGAGATGAACTTTTTAGTAGTTTATAGACCAGAATTTGATTTTGCCTCCTGTCATACTGAAGATACCACAAAGCACTTTACAGATCAATGCAGTAGAATGGTTCAATTATCTCCAGTAAATGGAAGCTTAGAATAGAAAAGTGGCATTTGTACGTGATGAAAGAATCTGACACCAGTATTTCAAGATGGGAAATCAGGTGTGCGGGATGATGGGGGAGCATTTGTGGATTTCACTTGTACATCAAGTGTCTGAAACTCACTTGGCGATTACATATAATTATTTAAAATGGATATTGCTTTTGTGATGGTCTCCATTCATAGACATTTCTTATAGATTGGGGGTGACTAGATCTAGGGGTTTGATCCAATATTGAATAAAACCAAAACAATGAGTTAAGTAAAAGATGTTTCCTGATGTGGGGAAATGTAAAATATGCAGTTAGAATTAAAGGAATGACTAAAAATATATAGCACTATATGTAAGAAATTATTTATATGTATGCAAACACACCCTATAACAGTCTAATACAAGATCATGTAGAAATTCCCATATACCCAACCTTGTCCTCTCCATGGAGACTAGTGACTTTTAGGGGCCCAGTTCTTAACCCAGTTACACCCATGCAAATCTGAAGTAAATCTATTGACTTCACTTCAGTGGTATTACTCCAGAAGTATCTGAGATCAGAATCTGGCCAAAGATTGCTGAAGAGAGTAAAAGAAAGAGTTCATGGGAACATATTATGGTTCTGCCCCCAGCATTATAAACATTGTTAAAAGAATATTGAAACAAACACCAGCTATGTTTACATCAGAGGAAATTGTACTTAGGATATACTTTGTAAAAACAATTTAAAAAAGGAACCTGGTGCAGACTGTGTCCCCTTTTCAAATAGGAAAATAGTGGAATAGAATTTTCTATGTTCCCAGCACACGCAATTCTAATATGTATGGCACATAGGGCCTGATCTAAAACCTATTAGAAGATTCCCACTGACTTCACTGGGCTTTGGATCAGGCCCACAGTGATCATGGGGAAAGCGATCTATGCATTTCCGGTTAAATCCCAGGAATCTTATTCAGTATGGACTTCTCTTTTGGAATATACAGCTGAACAGTCAAGGGGAAAACATACATACAGGCAATACAGTATAAAATGGAACAGTAAAAGACCCTAAATGTTAAAAATGGTGACAAAGGGAAGTCCCTTGAGAATGTTGTTTGTTGGGATTTGTCCTCAGGATTTGTTGTTCTTTTTTGTTCTATATAATTCTGTATTTATTTATTATCACTTGAAAATGTACTAGCCTTATCTTATTCCAGACATGTGACCCAAAAGGAAAAATAAATTCATGAATAATAGGAAGGGTGACTACCTGATGCATAGCTGTACATTATGCTTTTGGGCATGCAGATGCCTTATATTTGTTACTCTTATGAGTGCAGTGTAAGCCAACAATAAAAATATACTTTAATAAGCTCATGATAAGTACTATTGTGTATTCTGTATTTCTTTTGCTTGAGATCACTATTATGTTTCAGCAATTAGAAGGCTTAGGAGATTGGTAATGGGCTCCAAAGCCTTGCACCTCTAGGAAAAAGATTCTAACCTGGCTTAAGTGAGAAGTAGATGGAAGCTGTTACTAGTTGGTTGGTTGTGTGAAATAGGCTCATGGCCACAGATCAGTTCCTAGCAACCAAGTGTACATGTCACAATGTGCATCATCACTATTGGCATTAATTAGTAGCATTATAGGCAGTCTGAGCAGGGAGGCCAGTGACTGAGCTAGTCTCCTGCTCCTAGAGTACTCCCTTCAGAGTAGGACTGAGGCACGTTGGCGAAGTAGAAGGGGAAGTTTGGACTGCCACAGCATATTCTGAACTTCAGTCTTCAAGGCTGTCAGGCCAGCATCTTTAACCAAAATTCAATTCACTCATTGCCATTTCTTAAAAAGGAGGGAGGAAACCAGCATGGAACACATGAGGGCTTATAATCAAAACTCAGGCAAAACAGGTTTCAGCCTCATGTGTTTGCACTCTACCGCTACAAGTTTTCAAGGCTCTGCTTCAGCTGAATGAAGTAACTCTGTCTGCAACACTCTGTCCAGTTAGAAAGGGTATATTTTAGGGTTAGCCAAAATGCTAAAACAAATGCAGTGTGCGGCACCTAACCCATGCCAGTGGTTAGCTCCTCAAAATCGATAGTTTTCAACAGCAACCTGGCTATCTCGAAATAGATCCCTTTGCACTCACTATGGGCTCAGTCATGGTCTTGCCATGAGCCCTGAGCAAGTGGCAGCACATTGTTGCACTGACTGGGAGCAGTCAGGAGACAGACTGATTCTGGGAGTCACAGTCTGTCTTGTTCAAGGTCTCCCTTGCCTCTAGGAGGAAGAAGTCTGCACCAGGTTTATACCTGGTCTGTATTGGTGCAGCATACTTCCCCCGGAGCACCAGTAAACTACAGTAGCAAACACTTTTGAGGCGGGGCACTCTGCCCACTCACCCCATCCTGTCCTCTCCTTTCCGATTGAACATTGGGGGAATGCAGCAGCTGCTTTACTCCCTACACTGCTACCTGCAGTTTGGATAGCTAGCACAACGGAGTAAGGGGTTGCTTTATGGCAACTTAACTCCTTCCTGTGGTCACACGTGCCAAGCCACAATGTAGCCCAGTGATTGCCAGGAAAAGCAATTCCATAGTGAGGACCAGATCCAGCAGGGATGAGAAAAGTTTCCTTTGTGTAGCTAGAAGTGCCTCACTTCTGCCATTTTCCAAGGCTCGTGATTCACATCATCACTAGGCTCTACTGTCAGGAAGATAGGATGACAGTGGTAGCGATGTCAATAATACATAAACCTTTCAAATCCCTCAGTTACCCACAGGGAAGATGATGGTCTGTGATTTGGTCAGACGGTGTGTGCCCTCCCTACAGTGAGCTTGCCTGTTCTTCCCAAAGGTGAGCAATGCGTATGTCTGACATGTATGTCTGATACTCACTGTCTTGAACAAATTGGCTTATGAAGCCACGTTAGATGCTTCTCTGATTGGAATGAACTGTTTTATGAGCGCCAGTGCTTGCAAAGCAATTGGAATAAACTTCAGAATCTGTGATAGTCTTAAATTGATCTCTCTAATTATGGTGCATCCAGTTCATGTCCGGGTGTGCAAACGATGGGTAATGTGCATCCATGCCTGTAAATCAGACAGCTGTGAGAGTGCAAAATGTGATGGGTATTAACTGGTGTAAAATCAACAAGGGGAAAACCTGTTGTGTCTATTGGTACATGAGGCCTTATTTGCAGAATGTTCCCACATAACAAAGGCCACCCAGGGACCATTCCTCAAGGTGACAGGTGCCCCTCCCCTGGCCCTGACCCACCGCAGCCTGGACCTACTGCGGCCAGGGGAGAGGTGCCTTCCCCCCCCCCAGCCCAGGTGCTGCTGCACTGAGAGAGAGTTGGGGGGAGTCCTCTATCCCCACTGTAGCCCTGGGGAGCCTCACTGCACCCCAACCCCCTCATCCCCAGCTCCACCCCAGAGTCCGCACCCTCAGCCAGAGCCCTCACCCCCCCACACGCACACCGAAACCCTTTGCCCCACCCCTGAGCTCTTCATCCCCGGCACCACCCCAGAGCCCACATCTCCAGCTGGAGTCCTCACCCCCCTGCACCCCAACCCTCTGCCCCAGCCCTGAGCCTCCTCCCACACTCTGAACCCCTCGGCTCCACTCCCCATACATGGATTTTATCATGTGCACCAATATGGAGGTGATGTGTCACATATCACCTCCATATTGGTGCACATAACAAAATTCATTCTGCACATGGGTGGGAAAAATTAGGGGGAACACTGCCCCTGGGCTAAATAATCACTGCCATAAGCAGTGGAATCAATGGAGCTGTGCTGAACTATACAGCAGAAAATTTGTCCCCATTATTTTAGGTAGGAAAATCACAATGTATCACAAATCACAGTATTTTCACAAATCTTGTCAGCACTTGCAACTTAACAAAGGAAAGAATCAGGGTCAGTTCCGTCCCTCACTCTCCACATCTTTTTCAGTATAAGGAGATGGTATTACTTCTGTATATGACATGAATGAGACTATTATTGGAATACTGGGTCCAGTTCTGGTGTCCACATTTCAAAAAGGATGTTGCAAAATTGGAAAGGGCTCTGAAAAGACTTAGAAAAATGATTTTGAGGTCTGGAAAGCATGCCTTACAGTGAGAGACTTAAGAAGATCAATCTATTTCATTTATCTAAGAGAAGATAAAGAGGTGACTTGCTCCAGTCTACAAGTATCTACAGAGGGAAGACATTTTGATAGTAGAAAACTCTTTAATCTATCACAAAAAGGCCTAATGAGATCCCGTGTTTGGAAGCTGAAGCTAAATAAATTCAGACTAGAAATAAGGTGCAAATTTTTAATAGTGAGGTAATTAACCATTAGAACAACTTAGTTAGGGATCAGAGTAACAGCCGTGTTAGTCTGTATCCGCAAAAAGAAAAGGAGTATTTGTGGCACCTTAGAGACTAATGCTCAAAGAAATTTGTTAGTCTCTAAGGTGCCACAAGTAGTCCTTTTCTTTTTAGTTAGGGATGTGGTAGATGCTCCATCACCTGAAGTCTTTAAATCAAGACTGGATGTCTTTCTAAAAGATACACTATAGCTCAAACAGAAGTTATGGAGTTGATGCAGAAATTACTGGATGAGGTTGTATGGCCTATGTTACGCAGGAGGCCAGACTAGATGATCATAATGGTTCCGTATCACCTTAAAATCTATGAAACACCTTCATGGTCACTCAGTCTAGAGTCCCAGGAATCATAGATTCACTTCCTTTCCGGGTTGACTCAGCCCTTTATATCCTCCAAGTAGATCGATGACATTCCATGGTGTTCACTGTACATGAATCGTTGGATGATGTTTTCAAACCTGAGGTCCTCTTTGCTCTGTGTGGATATCGACATGCTCTGATGCATGATTCTAATGGTGCACCAGATTCTCTCTTAGCCCTGGTCTACACTACAGGGTTAGGTCAAATTTAGCCGCATTAGGTCGATTTTATAATGAATGCGTCTACACAAGCAACCCTGTTCCATCGACCTAAAGGGCTCTTAAAATCGACTTCTGTACTCCTCCCCAGCAAGGGGAGTAGCACTAAAATCGACCTTGCTGGGTCGAATTTGGGGTAGTGTGGACACAAATTGACGTTATTGGCCTCTAGGAGCTATCCCAGAGTGCTCCAATGTGACTGCTCTGGACAGCACTTTGAACTCCGATGCACTAGCCAGGTACACAGGAAAAGCCCCGGGAACTTTTGAATTTCATTTCCTGTTTGGTCAGCATGACGAGCTCAGCAGCACAGGTGACCATGCAGTCCCCCCAGAATCGCAAACAAGCTCCAGCGTGGACCGAAAGGGAGATACTGGATCTGATCGCTGTCTGGGGAGAAGAATCTGTGCAGGCAGAACTCCGATCAAAAAGAAGAAATGCAAATATACATGCCAAAAATTGCACGGGGCATGATAGACAGAGGCTACAACAGGGACACACAGCAGTGCTGTGTGAAAGTCAAGGAGCTCAGGCAAGCCTACAAAAAGACAAAGGAGTCAAACGGTCACTCCGGGTCAGAGCCCCATACACACCGCTTCTATGATCAGCTGCATGGCATTCTAGGGGGGGACCCTACCACTCCCCACCACTGTCCATGGACACCTGCAAGGGGGGCAGTCTCACCCAACACGGAGGAGGATTTTGTGGATGAAGAAGAGGAGGAGGAGAAGGAGAATGCGCAGCAGGCAAGCGGTGAATCTGTTCTCCCCGGCAGCCAGGACCTTTTCATCACCCTGGAGCCAATACCCTCCCATGGCGGGATCCCCGACCCTGAAGGCGGAGAAGGCAGCTCTGGTGAGTGCACATTCATAACTACAGTACAGGGTTTAAAAGCAATAGTGTTAAATGTTTGATTTGCCCTGAAGACTTGGGATGCATTCATGGCCAGTACAGCTACTGGAAAAGTCTATTAACTTGTCTGGGGATGGAGTGGGAATTCTCAAGGGACATCTCCATGAAACTTTCCTGGAGGTACTCTGAAAGCCTTTGCAGAAGGTTTCTGGGGAGGGCTGCCTTATTTCGTCCTCCATGGTAGGACACTTTACCATGCCAAGCCAGTAGCAAGCAGTCTGGAATCATTGCAGCACAAAGCATGGCAGCGAATGGTCCTGAGTTTTGGTCACATTCAAGCAATATTCGGTCTTTATCTTTCTGTGTTAGCCTCAGGAGAGTGATATCATTCATGGTCACCTGGTTGAAATAGGGGACTTTTTGTAAGGGAACAGTAAAAGGACCCCGTTCATGCTGGGCTGTTTGCACTTGGCTAAAAGGGATCATCGCATAGCTATGTGGCAGGGGGAGGGGTGAAGGGATCATCCCAAATAGCCATGCAGAGGGGTGGGGGAAGGTGTGTGCTGCACATCCACCCGAAAACTGCAGCCCCTCCTTTTAAATGGGAAACCCAACCGGCATTGCTTGCTATGGGAAAGGAGGATGCTGCAGTTTGAAAACATTCCCACATGTTATGAAGGCATTAGAAGTCAACCCCGTGTACCCTTTGGCTTACCATGGCTGCCTGGAAACCGAATTCTCTTGCCTAGATGTGTGTGATGTATCACCATAGCAGCAGGCGCTCAATATAAAAGGCAAAATTCAACCTTGTACCTAAAGCACATGTGCTGTCTGCTGTGAATTGCTTGATTCACTGTGAAAGAGTCTCCCTTTTGTTCTCAGAAGTGTATCATCTTAAATTTTACTCTGCCTTTTTATCCCCCTGCAGGTGCAAATGTTTCTATGCTCCCCATATCATCTCCATCCCTGAGTTTATCTCAGATTAGAAGGCGAAAAAAACGCACTCGCGATGACATGTTTTCAGAGCTCATGCAGTCCTCCCGCACTGATAGGGCACAGCTGAATGCATGGAAGCACTCAGTGGCAGAGTCCAGGAAAGCATTAAGTGAGCGTGAAGAGCAGAGGCAGGAGGCAATGCTGAGGCTAATGGGAGAGCAAATGGACATGCTCAGGCGTCTTGTGGAGCTGCAGGAAAGCCAACAAGAGCACAGACCGCCGCTGCATCCACTATACAACCGCCTGCCCTCCTCCCCAAGTTCCATATTCTCCTTGCCCCAAAACGCCCAAGAACGCGGTGGGGGAGGCTCCGGGCACCCAGCCACTCCACTCCAGAGGATGACCAAAGCAACAGAAGGCTGTCATTCAAACAGTTTTGATTTGTAGTGTGGCTACAATAAGCAGTGTGCTCTTGTCCTTCCCTCCCCCACCCCACCCGGGCTACCTCATCAATTATCTCTCTCTTTTTTTTTAATTAATAAAGAAAGAATGCATAGTTTCAAAATAATACTGACTTTATTTCCTTTGCCAGTTGTGATCGAAGGGGGGAGAGTGGTTGGCTTACAGGGAATTAAAATCAACAAAGGGGGCGGGTATGCATCAAGGAGAAACACACACAACGGTCACACCGTAACGTGGCCAGACATGAAACTGGTTTTCAAAGCCTCTCTGATGCGCAGCACACCTAGCTGTGCTCTTCTGATCGCCCTGGTGTCTGGCTGTTCAAAATTGGCAGCCAGGCCATTTGCCTCAACCTCCCACCCCGTCATAGATGTCTCCCCCTTACTCTCACAGACATTATGGAGCACACAGCAAGCAGCAATAACAATGGGAATGTTGGTTGTGCTGAGGTCTAACGTATTCAGCAAACAGCGCCAGCAAGCTTTTAAACGTCCAAAGGCACTTTCACCACCATTCTGCATTTGCTCAGTCTATAGTTGAACTGCTACTGTCCACGGTGCCTGTGTATGGCTTCATGAGCCATGGGAGCAAGGGGTAGGCTGGGTCTCCAAGGATAACTATTGGCATTGCAACATCCCCAACAGTAATTTTCTGGTCTGGGAAGTAAGTCCCTTCTTGCAGCTGCTCAAACAGCTCGGAGTTCCTAAAGATGCGAGCATCATGCACCTGTCCCAGCCATCCCACATTGATGTCAGTGAAACGTCCCTTGTGATCCACCAGTGCTTGCAGCACCATTGAGAAGTACCCCTTCCGGTTTATGTACTGGTTGGCAAGATAGGGATATGCGTCCCGTCTATTGCCCCACCACAGTTAGGGAACCCCATTGCAGCAAAGCCATCCACTATGACCTGCACATTTCCCAGAGTCACTACTCTTGATAGCAGAACATCAGTGATTGCATTGGCTACTTGAATCACAGCAGTCCCCACAGTAGATTTGCCCACTCCAAATTGATTCCCGACTGACCGGTAGCAGTCAGGCGTTGCAAGTTTCCACATGGCTATTGCCACTCGCTTCTCAACTGTCAGGGCAGCTCTCATCTTGGTATTCCTGTGCTTCAGGGCGGGGGAAGGCAACTCACAGAGTTCAAGAAAAGTGCCCTTACGCATGCGAATGTTTCGCAGCCACTGAGAATCATCCCATACCTGCAAGACTATGCAGTCCCACCAGTCTGTGCTTGTTTGCCAGGCCCAGAATTGGCATTCCACTGTATCAACCAGCCCCAATGCTGCCATGATGTCCCAGTTGCCACATCTGTGCTTTCAGGAACGTCTGTATGCATGACCTCTTCACAATTGTCCTCGTGCTGCCGTCTCTTAGCCAGGTTCTGCACATACTTACTGCAGGATAATGCATGAGGTGTTTACAATGCTCGCAACAGCAGCGGTGAGCTGAGCAGGCTCCATGCTTGCTGTGCTATGGTGTCTGCATGGGTAACCCAGGAAAACAGGCACAAAATGATTGTCTGCAATTGCTTTCATGGAGGGAGGGCAGGAGGGGAGACAGACGACATGTACCCAAAACCACCCGCGACAATGTTTTTGCCCCATCAGGCATTGGAAGCGTAACCCATAATTCCAATGGGCAGCAGAGACTGCGGGAACTGTGGGATAGCTTCCCACAGTGCACCGCTCCGTGAGTCAATGGTAGCCACGGTAGTGGGGACGCACTCCACTGACTTAATGTGCTTAGTTGGAACATACACAATCAACTGTATAAAATCGATTTCTACAAATCGACTTCTATAAAATCGACCTAATTTCGTAGTGTAGACATAGCCTTAGTCATAGGACTGCAGTGCTTCTTTCACTTCTTCAGCTGTGGCATTGTCCTCCATAATAATCCCATGGAATTTTTGGGATACATTAATAGTTTATCACGTCATTGCTATCAACTAACCTCATATGAAGAGAAGTCAACAGTACAGCCTGTGCAGGATACTTCTGCAGGACTTTGGATGGCCAGAAGAGGCTGCAAGTGTTCGGCAGCCAGTCTGGAGACACAGAGCTCTGTGAGGATGGCCTTTGCAGTATCTTACTGATGAGCAAACAGGTGTCAAGATAAATCCTTTATCATGAACAGGAGTTATGCACAGAAATGAGGTAACAAAATTTACTACTCCTCTGTATAGCTGCAGCTTGCAACTGACCTGTTCTGGGCTTCTTTGTTTTTGCTTCAGCAGGAAGTGTGTCACCTGAAACCAGATTGCATGGTTGTGGTTCCATTGTGCTGTGTTGTAAGCAGATTCCTGTGCACTAGATCAGTGTTTCCCAAACTTGGGACGCCACTTGTGCAGGGAAAGCCCCTGGCGGGCTGGACTGGTTTGTTTAGCTGCTGCGTCTGCAGCTTTGGCTGATCGCAGCTCCCACTGGCCGTGGTTCGCTGTGCCCAGCCAATGCGGGCTGCGGGAAGCGGCAGCCAGTATGTCTTTCGGCCTGCACCACTTCCTGCAGCCCCCATTGGCCGGGCACAGCGAACCGCGGCCAGTGGGAGCTGCAACTGGCCGAACCTACAGACGCGGCAGGTAAACAAACCGGCCCAGCCCGCCAGGGGCTTTCCCTGCACAAGCGGCAGAACAAGTCTGGGAACCACTGCCCTAGATAAATACAAACTTGACCCTTTGCTGGGGTTTGCCTTTATTAATCAAGAATTCAACAATAAAATAACAATGTTTAGCTGTAATCTTCTCTTCCACACTTGGCTGCTCGTAGAGTACCTTGCTCAAAATTGCACTGCCCACACCCTAGATCCTCTCCACCCCCACAAGTTACCCCACTTACCATATATCCAAGTGGAGTAATCAGGCCACTGCTTCAGTGAGTAAGCAGAACCCATTTATCTTTTTGAACACCTGCTACTGAAGTGCAATGTATCAGACAAACACTGCTAGCCTGTTACACACATCGGGGAGTGGGCACTCAGTGAGTTGTAGCCTGCAAAGTCTCTTGTCAGGTGCAGGAGTTTGATCCCACTCACAGAAGCTGAAGGTTCCAAGCTTCAAATGTACAGAGATCCGAGAACCATACATATCCCAGGAGACTAGCTGCAAGACAGGTTTCACAGTAGAAGCTCTTTTGCCAGCCAGCCGCTCACTTTTACTACCCGGCACAGCACAGATTCTTCAGGAGCCAGACAGATTATGGCTCCCCGAGAGCTGGTTAGCCTCAGAATCCCCCTCAACTCATTTATTAGCTTGGTGGGTGTGGGAGAGTTACAAACTCCAGAAGGCACAAACTGTAGACTTCAGTAATGTATCCTTCTTAGGCCCATATGCTTGGCTGTGAGATCTGGCAGAGCTTGGCCAAGCTCCCAGCTTGCACCCTCCTGCCCCTAGCCTTTGCCCTCCCCGCTACCTCCAAATCTGTACATCTTAAACCCCCTGGATTCACAAAAAGAGGATGTCTATGGGGTTAGGGGAAAGGAAGCCGTCCTAATGCCTACATCCATCCCAGCCACAAACCATGAGTACAGAATCATCTCTGCTCAAGGGGAGCATGGGGTTGTTCGTCATTTGTACATCACTTTCGAGTCCAACGCATGAAGGGTGCTATAACAATTCAATATATAAAAATTATTTACTGTAAACTGGGCTTACTTCATCCCTGGTCTAATTCCACTGTCTTCAGTGGAGTTACACCAAGAGTAAACTATCCCACAAAACCACAGCAATCTTTTGTTTCCCCCACTAATTATCCAGCTATTAATCTAATGAAACCTGCTTCAAAGCTCTGCATGAAGAACTCCTCACATCACTTAGTCAAGAGCCCTGTAACTGCGTCATAGCTTGGGTCTTTATTTTAATTTACAGCTGAAAGATTCCGATAAGAAAAAAAGGAAACAAGCTTACAAATAAACAATGATACATACAGGGTGGGGTCACATCCAGCTAAAAATGAAGACTTTCCTCTCAATATTTCAATTCTGTTTTTCAAGGTAGGGATGTATTAGTACATTGTGTTTTTAAATTCCACTTCAATAATGACTGCAGTCAGATCTTCAGCCCAATTCAGAGAAGTGTATGGCAAGAATGGTTCCCTCCATTTCAACTCCCTAGCTGATGTCAGAGAATAAGCTGTTCTTCATTTAAAAAAAAAAAAGGTCAGAAAAATTATCTCCTTTGTCTTACATACACTTTAGTGATAACTGGCAATGCCACTAAGAGTCTGTCTGGTCCACAATAAACCCCTATTTTAAGAGGTTTATAACAGCTATTAAAAAATTCCACTCTTGTCTGAATCTTGGCATATCTTCAGTGATTTTGTTTCTTCCAGAAATTAAAAAAGAATCATATTCTTCCCTTACAGATATGAGAGATTAGCTCACAATGGCGTTCTTAGCTGGATGGGAGGGGGAGGACTATAAAAAGTTGAGACAGTTCGCTTTGAAAAGTAGTCACATAGCAACCACTCAAAAAATACAAAATTTCCTAAGGCTATTTACATGCTATTCCTCCTCAGTCCTGTCTCATGCCAAATTCTCCTTGGCTTCATTAGAAGTTGTCTGCATGAAATGAATGTTGATCAGCATTAGTAACTCCTGTGCACGTTAAGGGCCAGCATGCCTTTTAAGGCACAGTCTATATTGGGGGACATTTAGAGGCACAGAGAGCTCTGGGAGGCACAATGACATCTGGAGCACCCCAAATGGCAGGGAAAGCACATCACCCTGTTGGATGCTAGCAGTGTAGAGCAGGGAGAAGGCCATGGTCCTCTTTCTTTCCCCGTATTCCATACCCACGTATTAGGGTGGCTAATACCCAGAGGACACTAGTATAACACACTAGACAAAGGTATGTCACATTTTCCTCTCAGAGATAGTTCACATAGAGAGCAACAGACTATTGCTGCCTGCTAATAGCTGTTACTCCCTTAGCTCTTTTAATAGAATCATAGAATATCAGGGTTGGAAGGGACCTCAGGAAGTCATCTAATCCAACCTCCTGCTCAAAGCAGGACCAATCCCCAACTAAATCATCCCAGCCAGGGCTTTGTCAAGCCGGGCCTTAAAAACCTCTAAGGATGGAGATTCTACCACCTCCCTAGGTAACTCATTCCAGTGCCTCACCAACCTCCTAGTGAAATAGTTTTTTTCCTAATATCCAACCTAAACCTCCCCACTGCAACTTGAGACCACTGCTCCTTGTTCTGTCATCTGCTACCACTGAGAATAGTCTAGATCCATCCTCTTTGGAACCCCCCTTCAGGTAGTTGAAAGCAGCTATCAAATCCCCCCTCATTCTTCTCTTCTGAAGACTAAACAGTCCCACTTCTCTCAGCCTCTCCTTGTAAGTCGTGTGCTCCAGCTCCCTAATCATTTTTGTTGCCCTCCGCTGGACTCTTTCCAATTTTTCCACATCCTTCTTGTAGTGTGGGGCCTAAAACTGGACACAGTACTGCAGATGAGGCATCACCAGTGCTGAATAGAGGGGAATGATCTGCTGGCAATGTTCCTACTTATACAGCCCAAAAGAAGCCGTTAGCCTTCTTGGCAACAAGGGCACACTGTTGACTCATAACCAGCTTCTCATCCACTCTAACCCCTAGGTCCTTTTCTGCAGAACTGCTGCCTAGCCACTTGGTCCCTAGTCTGTAGCAGTGCATGGAATTCTTCCTTCCTAAGTGCAGGACTCTGCACTTGTCCTTGTTGAACCCCATCAGATTTCTTTTGGCCCAATCCTCTAATTTGTCTAGGTCCCTCTGTATCCTATCCCTTTGGTTGAGACCTGTGCTTTTGGTGCAGAAGGTCCCAGGTTCAAAGCCCTGCTCATGACCCAGGGAGTGTGTCATTACGCTAACAGGGAGCTATCTTTGTGAAGGGGAGGAACAATGGGCTCAATCTTCTTGAGCCCTCCCCCACTTGTGTGCTCTCACAGGGGTCAGACGTAACTGTGCACAGAGCACCCATTCCAAAATGAGTATTTATGTGTGCGTAAAGACTGCAGTGTTTGAAAGAATGCCTATATACCTATTAGCACAATAAACTAAGGGCTCCCCTCCAAACAAATAAAGGACTGTGTGTGTGTGTTATTTTCCATGATCTAAATATGTATTTTCATGAATTTCATACTTTGTAGGAAATCCCCACCGCAGCGGGATACAAAAGACACCTGGGGAATGTCAGGTAATGAAATGCTGTCTTTTTCCTCTGATATGAGCAATGTTTTGAAAACTCTAAATCTCTGAACTGCTTGGAAGAAGGTGTTTTCTGAAATAATGGCATTCCTGGAAAAGGCTTACATCTTCCTCAAGCCACAGCATCTGCAACTGGGTCTGCACTGCTCGCTTTCATGCAGACTGTTTCCTGAAGCCTGCCACAGGGTATTTATACTTAAATGAATGGGACCCTATCAATATCTGCAAGCCTTGCACTGTAGTTTTCCAACAAAATATAATCTCCTGAGCATGTTATCATAATTAAATTTTCCATCTGTCTAATTTTTAAAAAGTATTTTAGTAACACCCCTTCCCCCCCAAAAAAAAACCCCAACCAATCAACCAAAAAAACAAACCAACCCCAACTGCCACTCCTGGTTGGTGTTGACTTCCTCCACACCAGCAGGGAACATGCTGCCATGCATAAAGCATGAGTCCTCAGTCATTTTCCAGGCAGTAAGAGTTCAGGCCATCTACCCATCCTTTTGGGACAGCACTACCTGAGTTTTGAGATTTTCAATATTTTTCTTAAAACTCCAGCTATTGGAGAAGTGTGATTATGCAAGAAGCTCAGCTTTTTTTTATTTATTTTTAGGGTCTGTTCTTCATGGTTGCAAAGCAATGCTTGAAAATGTGTCCCAAGTGCTCTCTGGAGACTCAAAAACTAAAAGGCAATTAAAGAGAGCCCCTCCCCCCAATTTTATTTTATTTTTAAAAATCCCATAGTTTTAAAGTCAGTCTCATTTTTGAGGGGATTTTTTAACATTTGGGGTTGGCAACATTGCGCTGGTGGCTTTAGTGTAGTTCTGAGTGGTCAAGTGACCATGTCACAACAAGTCCCCACCCCTGAGTTAGGTTACTAAAATAAATGGAATTTTGATTTGAGTTGCTGAAGGGAAGAGAAATGGGGAGTGTTCTAGTTTAAGATGTAAAGTTTCTTGTGCTATTTAATAGTTTAGTGCTTTTGAAAACCACATTTTTTAACCAAGCATCTAATATGGAAAAAAAAAACCTCAAAGAAATCCACCATCACAAATGCTTGACACACTTGTTAGCAAAGTGGACATAAAAATCCAATTAGCCATTCAACTTCCAGCTGAGCCCTCCATGTCAGGGTTGAAGCACAGTATCACATTAGGGTGGGGAAGCTTGCCTTGCAAAACTCGTTAATTCTACAACCTCAAAATATTGTGTGTTTCCCAGCATATAAATCCTGGAGTTTGACATACAAAGAATGCTTGGCAACTCCAACAAGAAACTCAGCCAATGTAGATGTCAAAGGTATTTGCTGGGTTTCCACTCAGCCAAGAATATTAACACCTTATCCATAACTCAAAAGGAATGTGATTTTTGTAGTGCTAGGTATGATGCATGGGGAGTTGATGAAAGTTGCTATTGCAGATTTTTTAAAGAACTGTGTACTTGGTTAGCTTTGCACTTATGTCATAGAAATTATCCTCAAAGAACTACAACTTCACATTGAAAACACAGTCCACACAGCTGGAATTTGGTAAATTCACTGAGTTTACTGGGATGAAAAAGAGAATACATACATACATAGAAATAACTGATAGATCTGGGTTCAAAAGTAGCTTAAAAAGACGAGGAATTATCTCAGGTGATATCCCTCCATCTTTCAGCGACTTTTCATTAGCTGACCTCTTGTAAGCCTATCCAGAAAATTATTGTTATTTATTTATATAAACATAGTGGACCTGATTCTCCACTGCCCTGCTCCTTGTCAAGTTATTTACATCCATGCACAGTGCAAAGTGGTTGTAGTACACCACCAAATCAGAACGATGGCATTTACAACCAATGTGCAAATATATAAGGGCCAGATCCTCAGCTGGTATAAACTTGCAGAGCTCCACTGAAGTAGGTGAAATTATGCTGATTTACATGAGTGGAGACTCAGATCCATACATGACTACCCCATTTGAAAGGCAGTGGAGATTCAGGCCTATTGAGAATATCCATCCAGCTTTTGTTTAAATAGTGACATCGCCTAGTCTTTTTAGACTGGTAGAGTTTTATTTTTAAAACAAAACAAAATTGTATTGGACCTTTATTCTAATCTATGCAAACCAACCCCCCTAGGTTATGTTTCTTGGGTGTCAAACCATTTGTTCAAGAACGAAATCCCATAAAGGTGGCTAATATGCCCTTTTTGTTTTAATGCTGCTCATAAAATTCACCACCCTCTGAGCCTAACTTGTAATCATAAAGCCTCTGTTCTAGTCAATGTATTTTTATGAGGAGAATCCTGTTGAAATTTTACTTTAGGGGCCAGAAAAGTACTCCAGTTTGTGTTGGCAAAGGAACAAATAGAGATCCTGGTTTTTACAGAGATTCTTACAGGATTGATCTGAAAGTGTTACAAGGCCTGTTTTCAAAACAGGAGTGTGCAGGTCCTTGTGTGCACAGGGAGGAAGCAGAGCACGATAGCTGCATGTGACTGCAGGCACACAGCTTTTTCCAAGGGCTCTCTGACACTAGAATACAGTAGGCTTGATTGTAACTTGGGGACACCAAATCTGCCTCCAGATCATCGTCTGTCTGCAGTTCCTATGGGGCTTTGGGCCTCCACCCCGAACGGAAGATGAGCTGTAAACAGCTGATGTCTTTCCAAAACAAACACATCATCTGGTTTTATGAACTAAAATCCCTGAAGAGGATGTGAACTGGAAGAAATGTACCTTTCGTCATCTCCTGCTTGCTCTTCCCTGCCCCCTGCACAAGCCATAACCAAAAGGAGGAAGACGGAGACAGGGAGGGACTTGGTTTTCAGGTGCCAGGCACCTCTGTGCACTGGTCCGGGCCACTGGCTTCTTGCAGCTTCCAGAACAGACAGTGCTTGTCATTCAGGGGGCAGCTGCTGTAAGCAGAAGGGAGGATTCTTTCTTTTCTCAGGTTTCTGAGTAGCAGCCATGTTACTTTGTATCCGCAAAAAGAAAAGGAGGACTTGTGGCACCTTAGAGACTAACACATTTATTTGAGTGTAAGCTTTCGTGAGCTACAGCCAAAAGTACTCTTCTTTTCTTTTCTTTTCTTTTCTTTTCTTTTCTCAGAAGCAGTTTCTCTGCCTGATTGAGGTGGTCTTGGTGTAGCACTGACTGAGAAAGAGATGAAAAGAGAAAAGGAGACTAAGGAGGGGCTCCTTTTGGAAAAATGCATTTACAGTTTCTATAAACAGGGAACAGTTCTTCCATCATCTAACATCAGCCACACTATCAGAGGCTCGTTCACCTGCACATCCACCAATGTGATATATGCCATCATGTGCCAGCAATGCCCCTCTGCCATGTACATTGGTCAAACTGGACAGTCTCTACGTAAAAGAATAAATGGACACAAATCAGATGTCAAGAATTATAACATTCATAAACCAGTCGGAGAACACTTCAATCTCTCTGGTCACGCAATCACAGACATGAAGGTCGCTATCTTAAAACAAAAAAACTTCAAATCCAGACTCCAGCGAGAAACTGCTGAATTGGAATTCATTTGCAAATTGGATACTATTAATTTAGGCTTAAATAGAGACTGGGAGTGGCTAAGTCATTATGCAAGGTAGCCTGTTTCCTCTTGTTTTTTCCTACCCCCCCCCCCAGATGTTCTGGTTTAACTTGGATTTAAACTTGGAGAGTGGTCAGTTTGGATGAGCTATTACCAGCAGGAGAGTGAGTTTGTGTGTGTATGGGGGTGGGGGGGATGTGAGAAAACCTGGATTTGTGCAGGAAATAGCCCGACTTGATTATGTAAAGAGTTGTCACTTTGGATGGGCTAGCACCAGCAGGAGAGTGAATTTGTGTGGGGGGGTGGAGGGTGAGAAAACCTGGATTTGTGCTGGAAATGGCCCACCTGATGATCACTTTAGATAAGCTATTACCAGCAGGACAGTGGGGTGGGAGGAGGTATTGTTTCATATTCTCTGTGTATATATAAAGTCTGCTGCAGTTTCCACGGTATGCATCCGATGAAGTGAGCTGTAGCTCACGAAAGCTCATGCTCAAATAAATTGGTTAGTCTCTAAGGTGCCACAAGTACTCCTTTTCTTTTTGTGAATACAGACTAACACGGCTGTTACTCTGAAACCAGTTCTTCCTCTGTACGCCATATCAAGAGCCAGGTTAGAGATCACCATCTGGATTAGAATCCCAGGACGATCCGCCTGTTGCCTGACTGCAGTGGGAGGGGGCTCAGTCTGTGGGGATGGGAGCAGAAGTTGGTCACTGTTCAGGCCAGAGTCTGATCTCATTTTATACTGCTGTCAACCTGGGGTAACAACATTTAACTACACTGGTGTAACTGAGAGCAGAACTGGGACCTATGCGTCTCTGAATGATATAAACCTTTTTAGAAAGCATCTGATCAGGATTATAGAATAACATCAGCAGCCTACAGATGCTAGAAAAGCACTGGACAAGAACCAAACAGGAAATTTTTAGTAGGGGTCAGCAAATGTGTCTGCAAAATTATTTTTGCCACGAAATTACAGTTGCCACAATCTGCACACCCAAAAACCTAAATTTGCAAGCACAAAGCATAGGCAAATGGAAGTACCTACACATTTTGCCACTGCATTTGGAGATGCCTGCTGAAATGTTTGTCTATTATGTCCAGTTGTGCAACCCCTCCCCCAGCCAATACATGATTGTCTCCTACAGCATATTTTCCAGGGCTTTCCCAATCTCATTTTAAATGATTTCATCTCCATTTTCTCCTGTTTCATGACTCCACTTTAGAAGCTTTTCCTCCCACTCTCTCAGACACACACCTGCCTTGCTAAGATGAGTTACAGCTTCTCCTTTTGTTATATTTCTATTTGAATTCAGGAGCCTGCTTTTATTTACTTTCTGCTGTGCTCTCTGTGATCCCCCTATCGGGCACAGGCAGTGTGGAGATTTGAATGCAGAGGGGACAAGAGACAGAGCTGGGTAACAGCCGGGGCAGGGGGACTAGTTT